ACGAGCGTTTAGCGGAGCGTGCGCACTGGCTCGGTTTGGAAATGGATGTGGAAGTGATTGCTTGTGTGTGGCTCCTCTATCGTCGCTATAAAAGACGACGGCAGAGGCAAAGAGAATTTTGGGTGCACCCAATATTACGAGATAGACTGACGCATGAAATGTTTGCGACGTTGTATCCAAAACTAAGACAAAATAAATTCAAGTTTTTTAATTCTTTTAAAATATCTATAAAATCCTTTGACGATGGTTGGTGTCTTTTAGATATCATCAATAAATAGATCAGTATCGAAATGATCGTTTTCCATTTCAGCACATATATCTCAAAGCGCTCGGCTGACGCCCGCAAAACGCGCGATCGCATGTACGGTAACATGGCAGCACATATATCTCAAAGCGCCCGTAAAGCGCTCGCAAAACGCGCGTTTTAACAAAAATCTATAAACGCGCGTTAAACGCGCGCTTGGCGTTTGAGTGTGTACGGCTACATAGAACTCTTGGTTCTTTAAAACGCGCGTTAAACGAGCGTTTAAAAGCGCGCGTTTAACGCGCGTTGAAAAACGCCTAGTGTGTACAGGGCCTAAATATTTGTACACAAAATTGTGTATCGGGAATAACAATGTCATATAAAATTTATTATAGCGAATAGAAAAAAAATTGGTGATAATCCACTTTCCGAATAATTTATAAGTGAATTTCATCCATGACATATTCATTTTTCTTGCCATTTTCAGCATCAGCCTTCTTACATTTATGGAAAATGTTCCTTTCTTGGTAAGATGGACAAATGGGAATGAAAGAAAAGATAGAACAATGTAACTTGTCACCGAATGGCATTCGATAACAATCGTCGTTATTTTCCGATGTGTTCGTTCCGTCCTTTTGTTCATTCCATTTCGTAATTCCTCTTTCTTCATCCGAACCTGAAATAAGATTACATATTTATATAACAAGAAATTAAAATATTCGCGTGGATTTTAAACTGGAATTACATTATAAAGAGCAGAGGGAAAGAGAATTTACTGTAATTTTCTTAACCATTAAGTTTTATTTTATAAAACAAAAGCTCTCTTTACTCAATATGTTTGCCTATATTTATACAGGAACATGCAAAGTTTGTACATTTTTTTCATAGATCTAAATAGAGGTGTATATATATATATATATATATAATATATATTTTTTTTTTTTTTCGGATAAGGAGAGGCATATGCTACTCCGCCCATCCTTCAATATGCCCACTGATGGCCGAGTGGATAAACACTGGTATTTGATCTCGGGTTCGTAACTCACCAACTTTCAATGTTCAGTTCAACTACCAGCGGATTGGCCACGTGGACAGGTCAAGAGGCCACACCGGTATCCTGGGCAACGAACGGGCCGATCAGCTGGCAAAGGCGGGAGCCAGTGGCCCATTTGTTACGAGGATGGTCGACCCCTCGACTACATACATAAAAGGTACTCTACTGCAGAGATCGATGATAAGCTGGCGAGAGCGCTGGACTCTAAGTACAGTAGGTAGGTCAACCTACGCCTTCGTGCCTGTAGTTGGCCTCACTCCGATAAGTTGTTGCTCGTTGTCGACTCAAATCTTAACTGGCCACGGGAGGTTCCCCCACTTCAAGTCCAAATTCGGACAAGGAGATGGTAGCTGCCCCTGTGGTAGTCCTCGCGGCGACGCGAGGCATTGCGTACTTGACTGTCCCTTAACAAGGGACTTCCGCCTAGGGGCGGACCAAGTTGACTGGTCTAAGCCCCCTGAACAAGTACTTCGAACGCTAGCAGCTAGTAAAGGGAACCTAAAGAAACTAAAGGAATTGATGGGAAAAATCATAGATCTTCTTGATCTATAAGTCTAGTTGGCTTATTTGGGCCCCTCCCTCTGGGGTAAGGGCCCCGCTGTCCGTATACCTACTATACGTAGGTATTAGTTTGAGTATTCTATATACGTGTGAGCTATAAAAGGTTTAGTAGTGTGGACCAAAGTGCAGTACAGGCTGCACATACAAAAGTTATGCCAAGTTAGTGAGCTGGGCCGGGGTGCAGACGGGAGTCCGAATGATGCATCATAGGGCCCAGCTATGACGTCCCTGTCTACCGTGCCAGGTACCGACCAATCGATGAACAAGGCATAGTCTCTTTAAACCCTGTAGTGCCAATAGGCGGGGCAGGGCAAAGAGTTCCTTATGAGATTGCGTGGACAGGTCAGTCCACAGCTTGTATGGAGCCTGAGATTAAAAAGGACTCCTTTTAGCCATCTTTTTTTTGAACAAATGAAAAGTGAAAAAATAATTCTTTATTAATAAAAACTAGTATTAAAGATAAATGTCATACAACGGTACGAATCTCCAACATAGTCTTTGTAACCAATGGAGGATATGTATTGCAAGAAACCAAGGTCGCGGATTCTTCTGAAACAGAATTCTTTTGGTTGCTTGTAGAGCTACTCATGCACCGCCTTCTGCAACTCATCTGATGAAAATGCTGATCATCTGATGCACTCGCCTTCTGAACTCAGCGCTTCTTTAAGTAATCCAAACCAGTGATAATCATGTGAAGCACATTCCATGGGGCAACTGCCGAATGAGCAATATGTAGCTTCGCATTGTCTTATTATAGAAGAATCTTGTTATCTTCAACAAGGGCAATATAATGCGCTGAATCTTGACTGATGTTAAATAATTTAGATATCTTATCCATCGTAATACGACAATTTTCCTGTGCGATGCGTTCAACTTCAGCTATTGATAACGATGTCCCAACTTAGCCAGTCATGACCTTTGATCATCATCCCTAGAAGTCGTTCCTTCAAACTTTTATCCGCCACTTATGCACTTGCTAAAGAGATGTGTACGCACTCCCGTACTGAGCTATAATTTGCGCCGTTTTCATCCTTTACTACTAAGGAATCTGATAACAGAACGATAATCTTCCCTGATGTATGACTTCGGTGGCCATCTTAGGACTGCTGTTGTGACGTCAATTTTTACACATATTTTAAGGTTTTCATTTGACTTATCTATATATTTTTCAATTTACGATTTAAAAAAATACATGATGCAATATACAAATTTTCAATAAATAAATTCTAATCCTTTCTTTCCTGTTAAATTGTTTAAACATCAGTTTATCAGTTTAAAATCCTACACTTACCCGGTACAGTATTGTCCAGAAAAAACCCTAAAACTGCACCAACGAATGAACCAGTTCCGAGTAGAACAGTAAATATTTGATCGAGGATTGGCACTCCTAAATAAAATTTTTATTTTTAAAATAATGGATGATACTTTACATTATGTCTTACAAGATATTAACTAACCAGTATTTATAGCTCCACGATTAGCTTCTATCCATTTAGGAATGCAGATTCCTAAGAACAGACTCAAACCCAGAATAAATAAATTCCTAGGTGAGTTAAGATTAACATATTGAAGGTTAGACAACCCGACGGCTGAAACCATAGAAAACATAACGATGAAGATTCCACCGATAATAGGTTCGGGAATGGTTATGAAGAATGTACCAAATTTGCCTAAACAACCAAGTAAAATCATAAATAATGCCCCATACTGTACCACTCGTCTGCTGGCTACCTATAAAGAAAATTTTCAAAATTTAAAAATTATTTAATATTTAAAAAATTATTTTAATAATATCAAACTTACTTTTGTAATACTAATAGCACCAACATTTTCGCTATAAGTTGTCATTCCACTACTTATTCCCCAAAGTCCCGCTAAGAGACTTCCAATGCCTTCCACAAATATACCTCTATTGATAGCATGAATGGGAGGAGTAGGAGCACCGGATATTCTGGCACAAGCGTAGAAATTTCCGATTGATTCCACGATTGCTGAGAACATACCCGCTAAAAATCCCAACACAGCTGATGTCGATACAGTTGGTAATCCCCATTGACCTGCATTAGACAATATTTTTCTACGAATTTTCAGTTTGTCCGCTAGTGACGGGTAGATAAAACTAATGCTGTAAACAAGACCGCGGTTTTAGCAAAAACAGAATCCGAAATTTTGAATAGGCAATGAAACAGGTGTCATTATTAATTTTTAAATCAGGTTTACTTTATATATTTCTTTTCAAACTACAAAAATTTCAGACTATAAAGGATTAGATTGACAGAAAAAGATTAGATTTAGGTTTATTTGGTTACGGTAATGCAACACTTGGGCGATGTGCTGAGGGAGACTTTCTATGGAAAATTGGCCCCTGTTTAAGTGTTACTAACGTAAAGAAAACCCGGAAAAGTCTACGTGGCCAGTCCGTTGGCAAAGCGCGAACCCACGACTATCTACTAGTGTTCAGCGGTTTTATCCACTCGGCCACTGATGGACATGGAAAAAGACAACGAAACACTTTGGCCGATATGTTCACTGGAGAATTTGCTATGGAAAACTATATGTTATTTATGTGTTATATACGCAAAGAAAACTCCAAGTGGCCAGCCCGTTAGTGAAGCACGAACTGGCGACTCCACTGGCGGGCCAAAACCAGTTAACCGATTTTGAAAATTTTTCGCTTTTTGCCAGCACTAGATAAAACCACTAAACACTGGTAGTCTGATCTCGAGTTCGCGCCTCACCAATAGGCTACCTACGTGGTGATTTCCGGATTTTCTTCAAGTATTTAACATCTAAATAAGAGCCAGTTGCTCAAAGAAAATCCCCCTTGATGCATAACCTAGAGAAATCGCTTAAGTGTTACGTTGCCTTACTCTATTAACCAGCCAACTTTCGGTCTAGATCGAATATACTTACCTGGATATGGAAATCTGAACCAAGGACTATTATACAACGCGGATATTCTCAAATCTGTTCTAGCAGCATTTCCGTTCGAGAAAACGTTGGTTGCGGTCAAAGTTGCACAGATTAACCAAGATATGATTATAGTCAAAAAGACCTATTTTAAACCATATAATTAAAATATATATATTATTCCTATTTCTTAAATTTGAATTTTATTCAACGTAGGAAAATACCGGAAATAGTTCGAAGATTGGAGTGCTGACTTTTATAATCCCATTATTTTTACTGTAGATGCAACAGGATATATTCGCATTTCGTAAATATTGAGAAAATAATGTCAACAAAATAAGGGTCCTGTAAAAATTTTACTTTACTTGTCAAATTCTTCTTTCGGTTCAATACAGTAAATTCAAATATACTTACAAGAAACCGATTGCCCAATTTCCACTCATGTAAGTAGCAGCCTCTACAAACAAAGAAATGCCTACCAATGTGATAACAGGAGTTATGGCTAAAGGAGTAATCCATTTCAATACGAATCCTGTTATACCAGTAAGTCCTAAAAGTATTTGAAAGATCGCAGCGCAAGCTATAGATCCTTGAACCTGAATAAATTAAAAATTGTAAATTTTTGCCTGTGGATCAAAGAGATTTTATCACTTACCATTCTCATTCTGGATTGCCACATTTCTTCGTATTCGTGTTCTGTGAAATCGGTACTTAAATTACCACTATGAAGTGGGCATTTCCATTCTGGAAGATTTAATATTGTTATTGTCGGAACCAGGAAGGCCGCAGAACATCCTTGAATAATCGGCAATCTATAAATAAATAAACAACTCCAAATTTAAAAAGTTTTTTTAAAAAATGCGAATGTATTAATTCATTTAACTTAAATATGTTAAAATAAACGTTTCAGAAGTCTCAAGCTAAATGGAAATTGGTATGTTCTTGAAAGAAATATCTTCTGTCTTTTCCAAAATTCCAAATGTAGCGAGTTACTGAACCGATCAGAAACAAAGTAAACAACGTTCCAAATTCACTTTTAAAACAAAAGATTCCGCGTTATAACGAATATTCCCAATTAATTAATGCCTATAGGTACTACTACATTTTTTGTGGCTATTGCCATAATATTAGCTTTTTTTTTTCTTTTTGCTGCAAATTTCTCTGTCACTGCATTAACTTCTCCTGATTCTGTATCCCTCCTTATCTGATTATCTAGGAGTCCCGTTTTCAGTACTCTTTCCATGACAATTATGTCATGAAAAGAGTGATGTTGCTGACAGGATAAACTCTTTCCATGGTATTTGTTGATTATTAACAGTTCTATTTTCAAATATATTTACCTGTGCATATTGAAAATAATCTTTTCATTTTGTTATTTTACTTTATATATTAAAATTCGAATCATAAAACAACTTTATTTTTAGAACTTTACCTGACCCCAAATGTACTCTGGACAAAGGTAACAATTCCTGATACGAAGAACGTTGTGGATATTATGTAACCTCGAGCGGGATCGTCCTTCCTTATACATAGATATGGAGTAATGATATAAGCATAAGCTACAATTCCACCAAACATAGTTAAATAATGCTGTTTAAATTAAAACTTGAATGTTATATATTATCATAAAAACATATATTTAAATAATTGAAATATTTTATATGCTAAACCATCTACTTTATGGGAAAATATTTATAATACAATATTATATTCAAGATGCTTCGATCATTTTAGAAAATCTCGAAACATTAAAAATACAGTAATATCTCGATTTAACGGACTAATCGAGGTGGGTCCGAGAGAATCGAAAGTCTGTTATATAATAAAGTAGGAATGTCATACACCAAGTCAGAGATCAGAAATCATAATTGATAATTTTTAAAGCCTGACTTTAGCGAATAAAGAGGGCTACCCGTAAGGTTTAAAGGTCTCTTTTACGAATTGTAAAGCATTTACTTTGTCAGATATAATGATTTACTGTACTTAGATATAATGACGATTCCACTATGAAGCTTCACCCCTGAGAACACAATCTTCCAATGATGTCCTTCCCGTTCTGTGTGAACGGCCATAAAAATTATCTATCATTCGCAAAGTTGAAAGTTTGTATTAATTTGTTAGAATGCTGATCCTGAGAAAAAAAAATTTACGTAAATCAGTAGAGGAGAAGGTGGTATTATGGAACACTGCGGGTATTATGGAACCACCTCATTTCGAACTGATAATAAAGGCAAACTGTAGCGGAATGTGGCTGAACTGAACTAGGTAGACATCCATAGCAAGGGGAAAACCCATTTTACTTCAGTTGAACGGTTGTCCGTATTTAATCAGCAAATTTGTTTTTTTCAAAATTCGCAAGTTTTGAATGCTAAGTGAATTTAATTATTTTTAAAATATAAATCGTGTAGTCGTAGGTTCACTGGTGCATGTATTCCGTTCCAGAGATTTAGGGGTACTTATTAATCTGTGTGATATTCACGTTTTTTAAATTTTGGTCTTGACAGACATAAGTTAATTCAAGATGGCGATGCGTGAAATATGGACCCCATTGGTGTTTTTACAGTAATATGGAACTCAACTCCTCCGAACTCTCTCTTTGCAATCAGACATTCGTCCGCAGCAATTTGGGAAAAAGACACTAGATATAAAGTCAATTCTTCCTGAAAATATCGAAAAAGAGCTGCTGAAATATATATCGTTGATGGAGGTCATATTTTTCTATTATAAAAGCATTTTTGTAATAAAATACATTGGAGTAAATAATTTGGTAATTATTTAACATTTTTTGTCCTTTCCTATTTGTTTTTGGTTACATTAAAGCATTTTTTTTTGAAAATATACACTAAGGTTCCATATTACCACCCGATTTTCTCTAAGCCTACTTTCGGACATTTTGTACAAAAGCCTTCAAAAACCATACTTATAATTACACTAGCGAAAAATCCAATTAGTAACATTTAGTTTACTAGTTACCGGTACTTTTCGCACAAAAACTGTGGGTGTAAACAAGGTAGTTATGATACCTTGTTTACAATTCACTAAAATGTAATTGGGGTTCCATAATACCACCTTCTCCTCTACAGTTGAATTTAACGAAGCAATAATTACACTAAAGCCAATAAATTGTCTTTGATATTATGTGTATTTATTGAATTTCAAACAGAAAAATTGCTTTTTACATCCGGGGGATCATTGATACTTCCGTAAAGTCCAGATATCGATCCATTAATACGTGGTATATAACTGTCTGAAAAAGTAATTTTAATAATTTAAACGAGAACATTTTTATAAATTAAGCTATTGCATTATATTGTATCTCAGGACTGAATCAAGTGTTAAAAGTTGGCAGGATTATTTCTATATATGGAGTGTTGATACTGATAAATTTTGGTGGTTAAAGGTCAATGGCGTGTAGAGATAGAGATCATAGGTCATATCTCGAGTGGGGTCAGACTTAATGAAAATTTTATTTGTTACTGGCATTAATTTTTAAAAACTCACTTCACCCCTAAAATAAGGCCTTTGTTTAATAATAATGATGATTACTTTTTACCAAAATCTCATAACAGATCGCGCCAAACATATATATATTTTTTTCATTTAAACTTAATCTCCTGTTCGAGAACCGGAAAAGTCATGCCAATTTTTGAATACAAATGCGATAAGTATATATTATNTGAACGCTGCGAAATAATGTAACGTCGTATGGTGAGTTTTTGTTCGTATCGTGGAACAAAAATATGTTCGAATTTCATGTAGTATCCTGAAAATTTCGTATGCTGGGGCGTTCGTATCCTGAGGTACCATTGTATTTAATTATAATTTTCCTTAAAAGTATGTTCATACAATTGAAGAATATTTTGTACCAGGTATGTATAATTGTATATCCACCACACATTTTATTTCACCAAGTTTTTATAATTTTATTTTTAATTGTAGCCCTTATATTGTGGCTAGCGATTCGGAATGCAATTGTGATATTAAAAATACATAAGTCTACGGTTTTTCTGGCTTATCGAACAAATGAATACGAATGGACTCTGAATACGAATGGTCCATTCGTATTCATTTGTTCAGTTTGCATCATCACTGACGCGCGATTAACTGATTGTCCATGGAAGTTGGCTTCTTACAGAAACACAGCTTCCCTATCATCAAATGTCACGGCACGCCACTGGTTTATAATATACAGTAATTAAAAACTAGTTAATTTCAAGAATTTCGTTAGGGTGGTAAATGGCGCTGCGACACCGTTGTGAATTCAATGGATTTAACAAGACAGTACCGACAATGAATGTTTTTTTTTTTTATTGGTTAAAGCAGGGGTTGCAAACTGGCGGCCCTCAGGCCAGATACGGCTCGTTTAGGCTTCATATCAGGCCCGTGGTTTTGACGATTTCTTTTCTAAAAGAAAAATCATTGTTTCTAACATCTTTGCCTGGATTAAAACAGAAAATATTCAAACTTCTGTTTCCGTAAGTCGTAAAGTAAAGGATTGGCAACAAAAAGACCTTTGTTAGATCCTTTTTTTAGTTTATAGTATGTTTTGGTTTACCGAATAATAATGAATACACCACGTCTGATATACATGTATTTAACTAGCTCTTTACTGCATTTGAGTTTGAGATCCCTGGGTTGAAGTAATCACATATGTTTGGCCATCATTAAATGGTTAATCGGCTTGTTGTTTACACGTGATGGAATGCGATTTTTCAAATATTTTTCGAAAATCAGTGTTGTTTCAGGAGTTTAGACAGTTCGTGTAATGAAATAAGTATATAATGATTTGTGACAGTTTTGTCAACAATACGACATTGCTTCACAAAACTTTATACTCGTACTTTTCCATGCAAACGGGAAGCCATGTTATTTCAATTCAAAACTTCCCCTGAAAGGAGTTAGACAGATTACCGGCACGACTCTATTGCTAACGGAAAAGTAAGACACTACTAATTTGAGGTGGAGAGCCTATATTTTAAATTAAATACTGCATACATACGAAAATCATAAAATAGTTGTGATGACTAAAGCGCTAAACTTATTATATATATACAGTATATAAATTAAAGCATAAAAAACTTCTAAAATATATCCAGAATGCTTAATCGCGATCGGATTCAGCACCCTTATATATATATAACAATTACAAATTTTCCCAATAAAACGATTTCATTTTATTTAAGGATGTTATACATCCGAGGCTGTTATACATTTATTTACGGCTGTTATTTAAGGATGTTATATATATAACAGAGTGAAAGTATGGCGATCAGTCAGAAAATTACACCCCAAGATTTTTACATTTTTGAACTTAGGACACTTTGAAATGTCGAGATATGCAAAAAAAAATCGGGTTTTTTTCCTGTATGTATGGATGACTGTGGGGGGCATGGTTTTGTTTACCCTCTTTGAAGCTTAATAACTTCTGTGCTTTTTGACGAAAATTTCTGAAATTTTTCAGGGAGATTTGTTTATTAGGGAAATTGGTGCTATTAAATTCCAAATATGATAGTATCTCACATATTCTGTTACTATTGGTAAACCGATAATCTGTAATTTACATATATTTTACGAAAAACACTTATATTACCATACTACTTCGTTTGAAGAAACATTGCGCTGGAAATGTCTTTGAGAATTGTTGGAGATTATTGCTATAAGAAACTCCTGTAACGTAGGGAAGCAATCAAAATTATTGAAGTTCTGCAGAAAATACTGCATTTAAAAAGCTAGTTTCTTTTTAAGGGTTATAATTTTTTATATTGCACTAAAAATTGTTACACTGTTTCTTTGGTGTGACAGATTAACTTTACTTAATTTTGAGAAAGATGTGTAAGAAATCTGTCATTTGCAAATGTCATTTGTTCCTAGTCTCGTGAACTGAAGAATATAATACGTGTTAAAAGCTTAAGGACGAAAACAATTGTTAACGGTGATAGCTAGAAAATGTCTTGGTGACGAGCCTGCCACGACGATGTGATTCCATACTGAAGGGTCTCTCTGCGTGGGTATTGATAAGCATTTTCCTTTCATTCCTCAACTATGTCCAACGTATGTATCTTTTTCATAAAAGACTTTTACTGTTTTGATTTGTAAAATCCTAAAGTTGTGCATTATCCTGTTAGACTCGAGTAATACAATTCTTGCCGTATTTATCTGCATTCATTTACAGTTTTCTCTATTCACGTTCAAATGTGGTCCGTGTTTAAGTTATGAACACGTGTGTAGTTCCATACAAACTTCAAAGTTTCACAAGAACTTTGCCTCTGGATACTTTTACACACTGCTCCTTACTTCAGTGTGTAAAAGAAGCGCTTCGAGCCGATTACCTATTTAATTGCGCGAAATTTTAAATAATCTGGATTGAAGTGGCCGAGATTTCACAAAGTTGATACTCTTTACGTCTTTAACCATTCCAGTGTTTTTCACTTGCCGGAGTTTGCCTATGCAGACAACAATGAATATTAGTGTAATTTACGAATCGCTTCTCGACCATTACCCAATCACCATCAGTACAAAATCAACACAGTTTCCTCAAAGAATTTCATGCACAGTGATAAAAATGTTGATAAAATTGAATATTTATTTTC